GGTGCCCTCTCCCCCTCGCCGTGGGGCTCGTCCCCCTCCCCCTGCATATCGGGGACGGCGGCCACCAAATCCTTCAGGAAATCGAACTGCTGCTCCAGTTCGATGCACTGCTTCCTGGAGGGGGCGGGGCGTCAGAAGGCCACGCCCCTTTACGGCCAAAAGCCACGCCCCCCCAACCAACAGGCCCCTCCCACAAAGCGTGAGCTCCACCCACAAAGCCCCGGGCATTAATCGAAGGGGGTGGGGCTTCCCTAAGACACGCCCCCTTTCGGCCACAAACCACGCCCCCAAACCCCTTCCCACAAAGCACAAGCTCCACCCACAAAAGCTGGGTCATTAATCAAAGGGGGTGGGGCTTGCCCAAGCCACGCCCACTGTACACAAACCCCACCCCTTCTGCGGCAAGTCCCGCCCTCTGGCCCTAACCCACCAATCAGCATTAAGGTTGAGTGGCGAAAGCGAAGCATAGCGTGGGAAATGATTGACGTGAGGGGGGGCGGGGCTTCATTAAGCCACACCCTATTTGTTCACAAGCCCTGCCCACATCCCTTAAGCCACGCCTCCTGCACCTAATCCACCAATCAGCATTGAGCTGAGTGGTATAGCGCAGGAAGTGAATGAAAGAGGAGGCGGGGCTTCCTTAAACCACACCTCCCTTCGTTCATAAGCCCCGCCCCCCGCTCCTAACCCACCAATCAGCATTGATGCGAGCGGCAAAGCTGAGGCGCAGCGCAAGAAGCAAATGAGATGGAAGGGGCGGGGCTTCTTTAAACCACACCCCCTTCATTCACAAGCCCCGCCCCCCGCTCTTAATCCACCAATCAGCATTGACACAAGCGGCAAAGCTGAGACACAGCGTGGGAAGCGAATGAGCTAGAAGGGCTTCAGTAAGCCACACCCCTAGCTTTCACAAGCCCCGCCCCCTTTCCCTAACCCACCAATCAGCATCGAGGGAACAAACTGAAGCTCAATGCATGAAAACGAACGGGACCAGAGCCCAGGGGGGCTTCACTTCCCCAATTGCTCC